ACTGACCACCAGCTGAAACAGCAGCTCGTCCAACAAGCGAATGGCCTCCACGCTGCCTGCCTGAGTCTTTTTGGTCAGGTACTTGGCCTAGAGACACAGCCAAGAAGTTATACAGTATTACTTGATTTATACTGTCATTCATGAAGAGTGATAGAGGGAAACATATTTGACGTGGGACCAAGTGAGCCGTTGAAGCTGGTGACACTGAGACAACAGTGATTTATGTGGAAAAATTACCATTAGTGCATCGTATTCACAGAGGTCAAAGGTAATATATAGGTATATCCTGTACAGTGGACGTGTCAAACACAATACATTCCTAGACCTTTAATTTATCCAAAATACTAAATCATTTTCCCCATTACCAATGATGGAAATGAAATATGAGATAAACTCCTGGAAGTAATCCACCTTCATTATTATGAAGTATAACTCAGGGAGAGGCAAATGGTGGCCCACAGGCCGCATGTGGCCCTCGCCCACACTCAGAGTGGCCCTCGATTAATTTTTGAAAATATGAATGTTTACTTGCTGCTGAGCCGTTGAAAATGCATGATCAGTGTTGTGATGCCATTGTGATGGACTCACCTGCGGGGATCCATTTTTGTCAGACACCAGGTAGCGCTGATGAAAAATGGTGGGTCCTCTATCATTTAAGTTGCCCATCCTTGGTTTAAATACTGAAGATGTAATATTTTATGTAAAATTTGACCTCGGCAAATTGTTTTTTGTCAGCACAACAAGAGGCTATGAAAGTAACGGTTTTAAGAGCAAAACTTTTAAAAAACATTAAAAGGTGTAGTGTCCTTAACCTGATATTTGTATTGCTTTTTTTCCTTTATATTAATGATACCCTGAAAGAGCACGCACACACGCACACACACATACATACAAGAGTGCAAAAATACGAAATGCAAAAACACGTAAGGCAATCTGTGCTGTGGTTGGGCCCACTTCACACTTAAAGTCCAGTGATGTATGTCAATGTCTGAAAGAAGTGGGTGGACTACACACGCTGCATGTGCATTTAATTAGACGGGTTTAATGTCTTAGTTGTTTACTTCTGGACATCTCACAGTGAACCGGTCTCTATGCAATTAATTTTCCTTTATCGTAGTCGGCTGGCACCCTCAATGCTACTTGTAGTCTCGGCCTGACAACATACAGCCTGCAAGGTGTGAAGCTATGACCCATGCTTGACTCACCTTCGTTGAGCCATCCTTGTCCTGTGTGCTTTGACTGAGGAGGTTTCCCGCCATCAAGACCCTTGATATCGTCGCCGCTCCACTCTGCTCCCCCTGGTCACCGAGCTGACCTGTTACCATGTCAACCAGCAGCTGCAGGCCTAGCATGCTGTCTGCATGACTACTACCGAGACCCAAACCTGAGACGAGCAGCACAAATCTGTGCAAAAAAAAAATATATATAATAATAATATATCAACTGACATTTACAGTAAAACACAGTACTTTTTTTTATATACCGTAACTTATCTTTGTTTTGCAGTTAGAAAAAAGGGGAAAACTTGTGTTCAGATTTAATGAAGAAACTGGCAAAGCTGCTTTTCACAAGCGGTTTCCTATCACCAAAATGAACCAGATCAATGATATCAGGAGACACATATATACAGGTATATTTTTTAAATGACACTTCCCTAATTATTTTTTTTTCTATAAATAATATAAACGCAAGACAAAGACGAGGTTGCATTTTCAATTATATCAATTTGTTTTGGAAAAATTTGTAAATAACTAACGAATCAAGGACCACCTCTTTTTAATTTTGCAATATAGACAGACACCCCTCCCTCACCACAAACCTTGGTGTGTCAGTGGAGGAACTGCACACAATTTGTCGTCTAAATCACTGAATATGCATCACTTTAAATGTCCCACAACTGCACTTAATCATCACCATAATCCATGCGGGCATCTCTACTTATGCCCACTTCGCTTGATATCACACCAATTAGCCTCTCGATGCGCTAACTTGTAAGATAAATTAATGACATGAGGAAATGAGCAGCTCACCTTCAGTTTCTCGTATGCCAAATCTGTTTTTCTTTTGCAATAATAATAAATGAGATTCATACAGAGCCTGTCAAGTCATCAGGGATGCTTAAAAATACAAACTAAATATATCCATCCATTTTATGTGCTGCTTACATTTACAACATTTGCATTGTGAACGGCCATGCAATTTTAACCTGGCATTTTGGCCATTTAAACATCTGTGCTGATGCAACGCCATTCACACGGGAGTCAAAATTTGGACTCGCAGCCAATCAAGTTGCATTCTGTAGGTAATGAACAAAATGTAGTTGCAGAACCCTGCATACTGCTGGATGTGACTGAATTGTTCAGAAGCATTTCGCCACGTTGCTCAGTGTTCAGCAGGCTTTATAGGTCATCATTTTTTGTGAGTTTACCTGTCAGAGTCGAGTGCAGGTCTTACACTCTGTGCAGGGAGATCAGCTGTACAGAAGTCCTCCACTGTGAACTTCCCATCATTCCTCTCAGCTCCATATACAGCAATAACGCTACCTGCAGAAAACAGCAGCAATCAATGAGGTCCACCTATCCATGCATTTTCAATACCGCTTATCCTGAACAAGGTGGTTGTGCTGCAGCCCATCCCAGCTGATTTCAGGCGGAAGGCAGACTACATTCTGAACGGGTCGCCAGTCAGTCGCAGGGCACAGAGAGAGACAAACAACCATTCACACCGTCCGTCACTGAGTGGGAACTGATTACACGCTGCCACTCACAAGTCAGGTGAGTGTACCACTATGCCATCAGTGACCAATCAATGAAGTGCTTAATCAATGTGTATGACAACCAGCAAAATTGAAAAACCCTCCCACCTGTGACACACCGATCTCTGTTAATTTTGCCCTCCAGTTTAATCCTCTGCAGCTCATCTTCGAGAATCAGCTCATCAGTGTCACTGATGTATTTGACTCGCGGAGGCTGCGGCAGCAGGTTGTGCTGTTGGCAACAAAATAGAGAAAAATAAGTTAGAAGCTCATTTCACCTTCATCTGGTTTATACAGTGCGTGCCAGTGCATCCGTTCATAGCGCTCCGGTCTTTCTACATTTAGTTTTTTAGCTTACGACTAAAGGGAATAAATTATTATTTCCTCAAAAATATTATACAGTGGTGCTTCTACTTACGAACATCTCTTCATATGAAATTTCCAAGTTACGAAACGCCTCAACAGGAAAATATTGCCTCAAGTTCCGAAAGAAATTTCAAGATACGAAAGGTAAAAATACAGTATGGGCAACTACTCGCAGCTCCGAGTTTCCTTAACACAACATACCTATAGCTGCTCTGCCATTGGCTATTACCGAGCATCATCCTGGCATCCCATTGGCTAAGAGCGACCTCTATCGTATGTGTCGATGTGTGTAGATAGATAAATAGATATACTGTATATGTGTCTATGCAGCGTTCTCGTCATTCACCCCTCGGCCAATGATGTGTTCCGATAATTTTACATTAATGTGAATCTCCCAGAAAGTGTTCACCAGTCAGGCAGTCGAGTATGCTGATGTTTGCTTTGGACATTTTCAAAGGATTGTTAAAATCCAACAAAAGCAAACGAACCAATTAATTTTGTAAGTGGAGGTACCACTGTACACAACATTCCGTAATGACAAAATCTTGGCCATCTTGTTGAGTTAGGCTATTGTATCCTAATTATTATTTTTTGTTACATTTACAGAATTCTCCAAGAACCTTTTTACATAGTCAACGGGTATGTTGTGTGTAGAATTTAGCAGGAAATTTATTGAATCAATTTTGGACTAAGGTTGTATAATATAAGAACATGAATAAAAAGTGAAGCACAAGGAATACTTTCTGGATGTAGACAAGTGTTGATTTGATCTACTACTAACCTCCTCACTGATCTCTTTTAGGATGGATGGCTGCAAGTCCATACGCTTAAACAGAGTTCCCACAATGCAACACTGTTCCCCTGCCTGAAGATCACACAGTTTCCGGACAAGCACATCTGATCCTATGCACACAAAACACATAACAAAACAAAACAGCCATATGACAACAATGATGCTTTATATCTGCGATTCCCAATCAGTTTATTGTGAGAGATTATCCACATTCAATCGACTGGAATGAACAATACTTACTACAAGTAATGTATCTGAGTAAATCTACTTATGTTAGAAACGTGTACAGTGACGGAAGAGCATTTCCAGATGTATTTCCAGTAGATGGCAGAAGGTACAAAATTAACCGTGCATCCAGTTTTTGTAATATTTTTGTTTGGTATGTCGGGAGAATAGGTTCTAATGTAAAATATACACAATAAGGATTGAGAAACACTGCAGTGTGTGTGATCGTGCACTCAGTCATATAACACATACCCCACTTTTGTTCGGCTTTTTCAGTGAGTAAAGGCCTCATCTGCATGAGTCGCGCTGCATAAATATGAGCATACTGGCGACTGAAACTCCGCTCCCCGACTCCGAAGCGCTCGAAGCAGGGACTGTAGGCAGGGGAAGCTCTCTCAAACACGGGCGCCAGGTCCTCGGTCGGACGGCAGAGAAGAGAGGAGTCGTCCCTCGGGGTGCTCAGATCGGAGAACATGGTGGTCCTATTCAGGCGTTACAAAAGGTTGGAGTGAAGTAATTTATGTCGCCATGCGGTAACTGAACATCATGTCATTTTCGATTATTAGCAAAGCATCAGACTAGCTAAAATGAAGAAGTGGGCGCTCCCAAACATGTTTTTTTTTTTTTTAAGAATTTAACGTTGGCAGGTGAAGCTCTTACCTTGGTTGTCTTAGAATATTATAAGCCCAAATAAAAAAACGTGATACTGTGAGGTCAGTGCAGCATTTGTTATTACTGCGCAAGTTTGAGAGCGACTTCCCGCGAAATGCCCGCTCTACCAGAGATGTTTTGGAACTATGAAGATTAACCTCACGTAACCGCTGATAGCTATGGAATCACGTTAAGTTACATCCAGTAAATTGTCTGCTACTGCCTCAAAATTCTAACACATAATGGTGCACTTCTACAACACTGACAATTATAGGACACTAATTTAAAAAATGAATTATGTTCTTTTTTGGGGTCGTAGACTAACTCGGTAATCTTTATTTATGAAAGTTTCTGCTTTTACGTATATCCGGGCTGTTGTGTATTCTCGCGAGAAGCGGTTCTGTGCAAGAAAATGGCCTACATATTTTAGGAAGATGGGGCATGCTACATACGAAACAAACACATTTATGGTTGATGCAGGCAAAAAAGTAAAAGAAAATACCTGCCCCCTTCCCAACAAATGGTAATGATTGTTTTCCGCTGTTGCAATACACGTCAAGATTCAAATATATTCGTCGCGTTGGTTTGACGTCACAATAGGGTCGCCGCACCACAAGGGCTCGCCATTTTAGCTGGCGTTTGTATGCCGCTCTCTGCACAGAGATTCGGGCGATTTATCGACTCGGTTTCTAAGTCAGTTGCAACAAAAAATGCAAGGAAACAGGGGTCCTCACCAGAATCATGGTCCAAACCGCCAGTCTGGCCAGGGAGACCAGAAGAAACAAGGTGGAAATGCTAACGGTCAGGAGCCGAGCGACACTTCTCGCCCGAACGAGGCCTTCACGCTGGACTTGCAAAGCTTCAGGAAGCCCGGTGAGAAAACTTTCACTCAGCGCAGCAGGCTCTTTGTTGGAAACCTACCTACCGGAGTCACAGAAGAAGACATTGAAAAGCTGTTTGCAAAGTACGGCAAGGCCTCCGAGGTTTTTGTCAATAAGGACCGAGGCTTCGGCTTCATCCGCCTGGAGACAAGAATCATCGCAGAGATCGCCAGAGCTGAGCTCGATGATGCCCCGTTCAGAGGTAGACCCATTCGCGTTAGATTTGCAACACACGGTGCTGCTCTGTCTGTAAAGAATCTGCCAGAGTTTGTGTCTAATGAGCTGCTGGAGGAGGCCTTCTCAGTGTTTGGGCAGATTGAGCGAGCTGTGATCATTGTGGACGACCGAGGGAGGCCCACTGGAAAGGGGATAGTGGAGTACACCTCCAAACCAGCTGCAAGAAAGGCTCTGGACAAATGCAGTGACGGCGCCTATCTGCTTACTGCCTTCCCTCGCCCCGTTACTGTGGAGCCTATGGAGCAGCTGGACGATGAGGAGGGTCTGTCCGAAAAACTGATCAACAAGAACCAGCAGTACCATAAAGAGCGTGAGCAGCCTCCCCGATTTGCTCAGCCTGGCTCTTTTGAGTATGAGTATGCCATGCGCTGGAAGGCCCTGATGGAGATGGAGAAGCAGCAATACGAGATGGTGGACCGCAACATGAAGGAGGCCCAGGAGAAGTTGGAGGCCGAGATGGAGGCGGCCCGACACGAGCATCAGGTGATGCTGATGAGACAAGACCTGCTGAGGCGGCAGGAGGAGCTGCGCAGAATGGAGGAGCTCCACAACCAAGAAGTGCAGAAGCGAAAGCAGGCCGAGCTCCGCCAAGAGGAGGAACGCCGGCGGAGGGAGGAGGAGATGCGCATCCGCAATGAGGAGATGATGAAGCGTCAGCAGGAGGGCTTCAGGGGCAGCTTCCAGGGAGAGAGCCGGGAGCAAGACATGAGGATGCACATGGGCTCCTCTGGCATGGCGGCAGAGAACGCTCCCCTCATGGTGGGCCAGGGCAACGCCAACATGCCAGGAGGTCAGGGTGGCTTCCCCAGAGGCCTGCCCGGACCGGTGGACTATGTGCCAAACAAACAACGTAGATTTTAAATCCTGTTTGCATGCTCAACTGTATTTTTTTAATTGTTATTTTTAGGTTCAGGTATGTCACAGCTCAAACATTTACTTTTGTTCTTTAAAAAGTGGCATCTATGTTTATTTTTCCTTTACATTGTACTTTTGATTCATCCTTTTTCGAAGTAAGCTTCTCACTTGAGCCATCTGTTTTACTTCTTACTTTTTTGTATGGATACTATAAAGATAATTGTTTTGAATTTATCATTTTCTTTTATTAAATTCTGGATGAAAAAGCCTATGAGAGTCAAAGCTGATATTTTTTTCTTTTTGAGAAGAACAACAAACACTATTCTTGGGATAGCTACTGTAAATAAACTGAAGGTGTCACTACAGTTAACCTGATTCTCATGACGGTCCTGACAAAGATGTATTAATGTCATTGAGGAACTAATTCATCATTGACAATTCCTGTAGTGAGTCACAAAATGGGGCCAGTACCGTATGACAAAACCAAAAAAATGTATGATGTAACTTCAGTAATCTTTTTGAGAGAATTTATAGCAATGAATTCGTCAACTACATTTGGGACCATGAAAGCCTGACAGGGAGTTTGAATTGGTGGCTTCTAATTTATGATGGTTGTTGAGTGAAGTCTTTATTGATCTGAACATGCAGACTTATTATGAGTCATTACTGCAGGAAACCTGTTACTGTGAGGTGTGTCACACTCTGCCCAATATGTGAGTCATTAAAATTTTATTTCCTCATATGAGATGTCTACATTTTTTAAATCAGACAACCCCACCTCAACCCTTTTGAAATAAGTTTTATACATTTACACAAGAAATATTAACAATTCTGCCCTTCATTAGACTCATCTGTGGATGATATTGTTTTCCTTCTAAAATTTAGCTCCACTAGACTTTCATCAATGTGTACTCATTTTTACATTAATAAATGAATTTGTGAAGTGTTGTGTGTTTTTGGATGCACATTGACAAATGTCTTTTTTTTTTTTTTTTTAATCAATGCCTCACTTTTGTGGCAGTATACTATGCCATAGAAAATATTAGTTCTGAACGAAAATGTGTTTTTTTGTCAAAACTTTGGAATTGTTCTCTATCCATTTTGAGCCTTCGTGTACTCATCCTAAAACTAAACAACAGATTAAGGGTGGAGGATTTACATAATCACATTTCAATCCAAAATATATCTGGAAAAACAGCAATGACAATATTTTGGCAACATTTTTATTGGAGAGTAACAGCGGGATATGTGTAATGTGCATCTCTGGGGATGGTCCGCTCAGATTAGAACTCAGAACAGAGGAGTCATGTACAGATCAAGTCAGATTTGCATGTTAAGCTGTGCGAGTTGCTTTTTCACAAGAGCCGTCTAAATTGATGGCAACTGCAGATTGCTGAGGAGCTTCTTATCTTTACTGCGTAAAATTCTGTATCTTCTCAGACAGTTTAGTGGAAGATAGCTCAAATCTTGCTGAGGAAGCCTCCCCTCAAGTCCATCCTATAGTGCAATGTACAGAATGATTAATGAATTGTAAAAAAGAAAAAAGCGTGCTTACCAGTAGTCTAAAATCAACACTGTCCATCTATGACAGTTTCATCAGCATGTTTCGCAAAAAAATCGTAATCATTTCTAACGACTTTGACATACACTGCAGTAATATAGAATAAAAAAAAAAAAAAGACACCCCATACATCCATTTTCTAATTCGCTTCATCTTCACAAGGGTCTCGGGCAGGTGTGCCGGAGCCTATCCCAGCTCTCTTCGGGCCTATCCCAGCTCTCTTTGGGCAATAGGCGGGGGACACCCTGAACTTGTTTGCCGGCCAATCGCAGGGCACACAGAGATGAACAACCATCGCCTAGACAACCCATGAACTGTATATTTATTCAGGTTCTCATTTTTAAAAATTTGGCATTTATGCATTTCGTTAAACATTGTGGAGGTCAAATGAGCACTTTTCTGGTGATTGGATGTTGCGTCGCTGCCATCGAAACACAAGGCAATGTAAATCTGCCATGTCAATGAGGAGTGTTCATACGTGTGTTAATGACTGATGTTTAAAATGTGATTTTTAACATGACTTTCTCCATTGCAAAAGTAAATCATACTGTGAGGTGTTCCTTATGTTTCATTATGCTGTTTGACTGCATTGTACTAGTGGGGCAACCACCTCTGTAAACGATAATGATGCTGCACAATTCTACACTAAATAAGCTTGTAATTGGTTGGTGTTGTGATTGTACAGCTCCCATTAAGAACATCCAAATGTTTTTTGATTATGATGATTTTAATATTGGGCAGTAGTTAGTTTTTCAGCCTAAAAATGGGTCGACCAGAAGTTGTGGTTCCCAAAAAAATCAAAATGATGAAGTCGTCCTTCGCATTTTGAGAAGAGGACTTCATGTATTCATTATCTCAAAGCAATACAAAGATTATAAAGCTTCGTGAAAATGCATGAATGTGCAAATGTAATTTGAATATTTTTTTGAAGTTACAAATCTCTGCATTGTGCAGTGACTTTCCAGTGCTTGAGCAAATCAGTCCGTATCTGGCCCTTTTGTTCTCGTCTTTTTCTACCATTAAGTTTTATCATCATTCCAAATGCTTGCGCACCTTTGCTCTTCACAGACATGCAACATGCAGCTTGGCTTGCCGGTTTTAGCACAGCTTTGACCTTGACATGTGATAACAATGTCAATTACAGATTTAATCTTTGATTGTAGGATCTAATTGAGGATGTGATAATACTGACTTGAATTGGCTGCCCGCTACCGTCATTTTTGTCCACAGATATGTTATTTATGAACAACAAAACGCTGCACCCATCAGAATGATACCGATGATGGTCTAATGCGGTGTCCTAATCAAGGCACCTATTTTACATTAGAAAAATGTCATGGCACAACACGAAAGAAAGAAAAAAATATGAATCCTAAAATAATAACGCCCTTGTCTAAAGTCACAGTGGACTATGTACAAATCGACCGAGTCAGTGTGAAATTTAGGCCTTTTTCATTTTGATATAGACGACTGTACTTGCAAAAAAATCATGACTTGTTCTGTTGTGTGAATGGCAACAGGTAAACTATACAGTGCACACTTTTATTTGTCACGACAGTGCTGGCATAGATCGAGTTACAAAGATATCATCTATTTGCAGAGGCACAGCCAGAAAAGCTTGGGTGGGGAGGGGAAACCATGACTGTGGATGGGATGACAAACACTGACTTCTCTGCCATGTTATTTACCCACTATTGTGTGAAAGTTGTTTTGATTAATGATTGACTGATTCCAGTTTGCATCCACATTATTCTTTCAACATGTGTTCAGTCTAAAAAAAAAAACCAAAAAAACAATGTGGCCGAGTATCAATGTGTTTAAGCATACAGTCCGACATCTATGTGAAAATAGTAGAAAAATAACAGCTATCACAATTTTCCGTGGCGTGGAGGTCTCCACGTTGCTCCGTCCTATGTATTTGTAATTCATAAATCATGCATCCATCCATTTTGCAGTCTGCTTTATCCTCACAAGGGTTGCGGGGGGTTCTGGAGCCTACCCCAACCCTCTTTGGGCAGTAGGTGGGGGACACCCTGAACCGGTTGCCAGTCAATCGCAGGGCACACAGAGAGAAACGATCATCCACGCTCACACTCACACCTGTGGACAATTTGGAGTGTTCAATTAGCCTGCCATGCATGTTTTTGGAATGTGGGGGGGAAACCGGAGTACCCGGAGAGAACCCACGCAGGCCCGGGGAGAACATCCAAACGTGGAGTTTGGATGTTCTCCACAGGAAGGCTGGAGCTAGGATCGAACCCAAGACCTCTTCACTGTCAGGTCAACGCGCTAACCACTGGACCACCGGGCCTCATAAATCATTTTCGTACAAATTAATCAAATTAATGGAAATTGGATCATTTATCCCTGCTGATGTCTACACCATGCGGGTCTGCCACATCACACTTGTACAGACTTGGCATGTGGATAATTTATATCCCCAACGGTGTGTGCAGCAGAAACAAGTTTCCCGCAGGAAGCTCACTGATATTAATGACCTGATTGAAATTCATTCACATTTTATTTCATCTCTGCATAGTTTCAGAATGGTAGTGTACAGGGTGTGGTTGATATTCCAGAGTCTGCCAGTTGCTCAGTATCTCCTGGCAACCCTATCAACATCCCTCTCAAGTTAATCATCAGACACAGTTATTGATCATCCATAACTGCCATTGGCCAGGCCTGGAATCAGACCAGATAAGACATTGACATCATAGGAGTGCTGAAACTGGAAATGTCAGGATGTTTGTGCATTCCCAGCCGTGAACAGTAAGCGGGACGACAGGCAGACAGGACAACACGGACTTCGCTTCAAGTGGATGTTCAAATGCAGGGACAAGAGTGATTAAACTGTGCCCGAAGACCATTTTGTGGCTGAAACAGCAAAAGTCATGCGTCTTGTCGCAGCCCTGATCGCTTTTCTGACATGCACGGTGAGACTATCGAATGGATATGAGTAAAACTGACACTTTTATCGCACTAATCGGTTTCCACTTCACATGCTGTACCAAGAAGCTTGTGAATAACAAATTTAGACAGTTTAAAGAGGTGTTTTATGAACCAGTTTACATGAATCGGTTGTTGTAAATTGAGTGCAACAGTATGATACAAATGTGGTGTAAATAAGCAGAATATTTTATCATCATATTTATGATGACTGTATTCGATGAATATATGAGTGAGTCAATTAGGGTTTTGTAGTTCTGTATTTTGTTGACTTTAAAAAATATATCTATTGCTATCAATACATGTATTTATTTACGTGTACTGCTTGACCAAATGCTTTTAAATAGATTGGAAAGAGTGAGTGCAATCGAGCGATTTATGAAAAAATCCGACACATAATGACCAGTTTGTAAGGAGATGTACATACGACAACAAGTTTCTGTAAATTTACGGTGAATTTACAACAGAATCTTCCTGTTTTTTAGAATGATTGTAAGAAATTGTTCAATATTCATCCATAGCATGTAAATACACGAGGGATAGATAATTGTAATTTAACAGCATAAAGCTATAGATTGCTGTAAATATCTGGTGTTAGAAGTGCTGTATTATTATTATTATTATTATTATTATTATTCCTCCTCCTCCTGGGCAATCGGCCCCGTCAGGGACTTGCCCCCCTTCCCGGGTCCCACACCCGGTACGACTCTCGCTGGTGCCTCTCGAGGTTCACACCTTATTAAAGGTTCACACCTTATTATTATTATTATTATCATCATCATCATGGTCATCATTAAAGTTTTAATATCTGAACGTGTACTCTACAAATACCATAACAGTTATCCGACTGCCATGTCCTGTAATCCAAATTACAGTAGTATACCGCATAAATAAAAATATAAATAACATTAGATGCTGTGTAAATTTACCACACCACCCGCTGTTATCGCATGATAACACTGTAATTCAAAATAGTGTACTGTTCTGTTAAAATATATTACATTCGGCGCATTGTAAAATAACAGTATTTTCCTGTTATTTTATGGTGAAATTCTTTACAGTGTCGCCACGTGCTCCTCGGCTACATTATTTAATGCTATGTAGGATTAATGATCGTACTTTTGTACATCGGTAGCGTATCGTAGGATGTAATCATTTGTTTTAACGTTCATAAATGTCAAATTAATCAATTTGAATTCTACTGTTCAGCATTTCTGCGAAGACGTTGATCAGGTCGGGGCACAGTACAGTCCTGAAGCCACGATGATAACCTTTTTCAGATGTTTATGGGGTTGTCGTTTGACATCACTGGAAGCGCAAAGCTACGTAAATCATGATAAATCTGAGCAACTCTTGTTTCTATTTGTACATATCGATTTAAAAAACACCAAACTTTCAATGACAATTTAAATGAATGGCGTAAGATAAAGACATAAAGTGGAATAAAAGTAGAAAGGAATTGATGCAGATGACCATATTATATCCCAGTTGGCATTTAAATAAGTTTGAATCGTTTAAATAAAACAGTCTTTGTCCTACCTCCAAAAATATCTGTGGTTGACACATGGCCACGACGCCAACGGATCAATTAATCAAAATGAGGGGACATTCAAACACCAGCTGTCATTGTTCCTGTATGGTCATGCAGATCCTGTTTCATACTGTGCAGGTGCTGTCACAGGCTGAGCATCGAGCCGGCTACTGTGCTTTCTATGAAGAATGTGGCAGAAACCCTTCACTAGAAGGCGCCCTCATCCCTCCCATTGTCCCGTGCCGAAATTATAGCCGAGCCCGGGAACTGACAGGAGAACACTACCGTAAACTCAAAGAGGTCTGTAGTCATGGCAAGAAAGTGCAACTAATATCAAACAAAAGAACCATCGTCTCATTAAACATGTTCCCGATATGCAGGTGTGTCCCATGCTGGACAAGGGACTTGGCAGCACCTTTGCCTGTTGCTCCATTAAGCAGCTGACATCCTTGGAAATGAGTTTGACTTTGTCGAAGGCCCTGCTGGTGCGCTGCCCTTCTTGTGCCGAAAACTTTGCCCACCTGCACTGCATCAACACCTGCAGCCCAAACCAGAGCCAGACAGTCAAAGTCACAAAGGTCATGAATGTTACCCACCTGGGAAAGACCAGAGAGGTCGTGGTGGAGTACCAGGCATATCTCGCCACCAGCTTTGCAGACGGCGCCTTTCAGTCGTGTCAAAATGTCCGGATCCCCGCCACGGGAGGTTTTGCCATCGCCACCATGTGCGGCCGCTACGGTGCCAAGCTGTGCACCCCCCAGCGCTGGTACGACTTCCAGGGAGATACGAGCAACGGTCTGGCTCCACTGGACATTGATTTCAGACTCATAAAACCCGGAGAAGTAGAGGGAGTACCTGAGGGGGTGATTCCCTACAAGGGGCGAGCTTTGAAGTGCAATGAGACCACGCCTTCCGGCGGTCAGGTGTGCTCGTGTCAGGACTGCAAAGAATCATGCCCTGTCCTTCCACCTCCCCCGCTGCCACCAGGACCCTTCAGACTTTTGGGCACAGATGGCTTCCTTGTCATTTCTATCATCTTATTCTGTCTCCTGATCTTTTCCTTCCTCTTCTTCCTCTTGGTCTCTTGTTTGGTCAAGTCGCAGAAGAAGCAGGATCAAGAGAAAAAGAAGAAGAAAGGCAAAGATCAGAACTGTAACGATGTCAGTCAGCGGGTCATTCATCCAGCAGAGGTGTCGTGCGCCGACAGGAACAGCATGGCTGCTCAGGCCTTCCTTAGCTCCGTGTTTCAGAAATGGGGAACATTCATGGCTACCTATCCCCTCATGGTTAGTTTCTCTCAAAGCATCTCCAGACAATATCAGATACTCATGTACATTATTGTTGTTTGGTGTCATTCTGTATCAAACGTATGGGTAAACGATTCATATTGCAATGGATCGTTTCGTGGGATATCGTATCAGTACACCAATATATCGACAAGATTGCTATCAAGAGCGATCACATCATTTGAAACACTAATACAAAAAAAAGGAAATGTTGCGATGTTCTGTACGATTCTTTAATGATACACACGCTTGTAACCAAATGATAGATCAATATGTATCCTATATGTTAAGTACAATATTGTCAATACAGAAAGCACATTGATATCAAAACATATCGTTTGCTCCGATACTATATCGACAATATCATATAGGCAAAAGATTGATATCGCTAAATAAAAGAGAAAAATGAATAGGGGGAAGCGGAAAGCTACCTAATTGTTTATAATTGTTTGCTGCATTCAACTTTGAATGATTTTGCACCCAGTATGTCTTAATATATAGCAGCCGAGCCCCAAACCAACTATAGAAGTGTCAAAATTAATGGATTAATTGCAATTCGCAAATTAACTAATAACTTTTTTAATTATCGAATTATTCTTCACAGCAATTATTTCATTTAAAATTGTCCACATCTCAGCCTCTAAGAAGTAAGTTCTTCATTGATTTCTGTAGTCCTTCATGAAAGCAGAGTGATTATTTTTATGTTCAATAAAAATAAGACATTTATATCTTCAATCTCTCTAGTGCACTGCATCTCAATTTTTAATTGTTATGAACAAGTAGAACAAAAATATTGACCCCCCCCAAACAAATCTCAGCTGCGACTATAAATAGTATCATTTGTTTATAAAATTATTGGAAGTATACTTCGGCAGAGGAGCTAATACTCCTTGCCGACTCTCTGACATCGAGGGTGCCGCTGCCACATACTGTTGTCGATGTGCAGTTAAACTTTTTATTCTACTACAAAAAAAATGTTCCCTGGGTCATGTGCGACCCCCGCAATTGGAAGTCTACTGCGGCAGAGGAGCTAATACTCCTTGCCGACTCTCTGACATCGAGGGTGCCGCTGCCACATACTGTTGTCGATGTGCAGTTAAACTTTTTATTCTACTACAAAAAAAATGTTCCCTGGGTCATGTGCGACCCCCGCACCCC